TCTCACAGAATCTCCGAATCGTTATCTTGAATCGGATGTAAATATCCATTTCAAGACACCAATACGTCATGAATACAAACAGGCCATGTCGGATGAGGAATTAGCACAACGACAGGCTGAACAAATGCAAAAGCTTTATCAGGAGGAACGTCGACGCAAGTACTTACAGGAATTGCAGGACATGAATGCGCGCCGTCACACTGACAATTTTACACCAACACAAAAATCACCAATACCATTGAATCGGTATGATGACTTCCAATCGGATTTGGCACCCAAATCGCCAAATACGATAACAACACGTACGGCAGCGCGTGCGCTCTACAACTTCCAAGGACAAAATGCAAGGTAGGCAGGCATGACGAGAATAAATACTTAGTCCTCATTGTTCGCATTGCAAATCGTTTTTTTTTTGTCCGCAGGGAGCTCTCGTTTAAGAAAGGCGATATTATCTACATTCGCCGACAGATTGATCGTAACTGGTACGAAGGTGAACACAATGCCATGATTGGTCTGCTACCAGTGAGTTACGTTGAGGTAAGTGATATATTTATATATTAAAACAAGTGTTTGAAAAAGTGCAGGAAATTTGCCGAAATCAAGATGTGACAATAAGCATAGAAATAAATTATTTGCTGGGCGGAAGTTTTTGGCCACTGGACATAAATTTTTGGCCATTTTAAATTCTGGCATACAATTTTGCTAACTTAAAAACTGAATACAGATATGTAAATTTTGCTCAATTTAAAACAAGACATATATTGTTGGTCCATTAAAAACTGAAAATAAATATTTGCTGATTTTACAATTGGACATACATTTTAGTCATTTAGAAACTGTAAAATCTTTAAAAAAATATGCATACACACATTTTTAGAAGTTTAAAAACTGGATATAAATATCAGTAATTAAAAAACTGGACACTTATAATTGGTAAAATAAAAACTGAGCATAATTTTGTATCGTTTAAAAACAGTTTATAAATATTTTCTAACTCAAAAACTGGAGCTAAATTTGGGTCATTTAAATCTGGACATAAATTTTGATCATTTAAAACCTAAAATCAAACCTGGGCGTAAGGTTTTTGAAAGTTTTAAAACTGGACATTAAATTAAGTTAATTAAAAACTGGATATAAATTTTGGTGATCTAAAAACTAGGCAACAATTCTCGGTCCATTAAAAACTGGCCATAAATATTTGCTAATTTAACGACTGGACATAAATTATGGCCATTTAAAAACTTTAAAGTCGTTAAAAATATACACACCTTTTTGAATGTTAAAAAACTGGGCATAAATTTCAGTGATTTAAAAATTCGACATAAACTTTTGGTAAATTAAAAGCCGAACATAATTTTTGGTTATAAATATTTTCTAACTCAAAATCTGGACCTAAATTTTGTACGCTTAAATGCTGGACCATTTAAAAACTAGGCATACATTTTTGGTCACTTAAAGACCAGTCCCTAAATATTTAAATGGTCGTTAAAGAATTTACAAACATTTTTGGTAGATTTAAAACTGGGCATTCAATTTTTGGAAATTTTAAAACTGGGCATTAAATTCGGGCAATTAAAAGCTGGACATAAACTTTTTGTTAAATAGGAACGGCGAACATTTTGGTCATTAAAAAAATGGGATTAAATGTTTGGTTTTTAAAAAATATACATAATTTATTGGTCATTTAAAAATTGCAAATAAATTTTCACTCATCTCAAAATTGGATATATAAACTTTCAAACTCATTTATTTTTTTTCTGGAATAGAGTGAGGCTAGATTTATTTGGCTGACAAAAAAAAAATAAAACTGATCACTAGTGTTGCCGAGAGAATTTATGTGGGAATGCGTCATAGTTCCTTGCGTGATGTACTTTTTCGGCAGCTCTGGTGGATTTCCAAACGTTTGATCCGCGACATTCCTCAGTCTCGCAATGTGGTGAGGAACACAGACCCAAAAAAGCTTCTTAGTCACAGTGTACAAAATGCTGATCGAGTTGCGAAGAGCAAGAACTTTTGGGGGGTAAGAAGTTCAAAAGAGCTCTAATAGGTACTTTGGCCGCATTTGATTATATTTCTCCTGAAAATTATATCACATTCTAGTCTAAAAAATTTAAAGGTGTCCCTTTGACCGACACAGAGGCGGCTGAGATTATCTGGAGTCTCTTTAAACTATATATGCACATCCTTCAAGGAAACACTTTACCTGGCGTAATCCTCCTGAATGCCGTCAGTGCTGTTCTCTCATTACACTGCTTTCATTTTGGTGTTCATTGTTCGTTTTTGAACATTTTGTCAGGTAAAGCGCTAGCCCAATTGAGGTTGGACCCACCTCCTCCTTGGCTAGTCTGATCGCTAGATCACTTCAGTCCACTACCTTGTGGCATGGTACTCATAATATATGGATGTTGTGATATTTAGCAAGATAGTTAAGTGCTGGAAGACTAGCGTTCAATAAACTCCGAACGACGAAAAAGCTTGGGAGCCGCCGAGCTATCACTGAGAACGATATTGTGATAGTTCCTGCTCAGGTATACCTACCGCACTCAGACTGATGTTTGAGTCCAAATACGGCTGATCCTTTGCCCTCGGCAGTTTTCAAAATAGACGATACCCAGGGTTTTCTTTTCATTCATCTGTGAGAAGTAGGGCTGGTGTTAGCTGGGAGCTTAATATATGTATGCTCCTGGATGATATGACCTTTCCTCTGCCAAACTCTCCATAGTAAAATTAAGTAGAACTCGTTTTATCGCCTGTTCTAAAGTTTGTTTTAGGGGCTCTAGTTCTAGAATTTCCTCCAGTACTAACTTCAAGCAAGCGCACATATCTCCCGTAATGTGCAAATACATGACAGACGTTGAAGTGTTGTGACTGATGGTTTCACGGTGACTAGGACGGTCCTTAAGACCTACGGTGCCCCATATGTTATAATACTTAGGTTCTACGTACTACAACTAATTATAAGTCCATCAGATATGAGTTCAGTGTTCTTTCGAGGGCTTCTGAAAGCGACCAATCTATGTAGAATAGGGTGGTCCACAATAAGTAAAGTCGGATTTTTAATGCGCTCACCCCCTAAAATTGTTCTATGTCAAAAAATTATACGCGATTTTTTTTTTTAATTTTTTTTTTTTGAACTCACAAAATATTTAGAGGTCGCTCAAAGCGCTTAAAATTTTCCATGTATTTTATATGGGAAAAAAACAATTTTTCCTAGAAATGGTATAGAATTCTTGAAAATCAATATTTTTGTGATCGGAAAGCTCTGGTTCTCTTCGGAAGACTTCCAGTAACAATACACAATTATTTGTTTAAATATTTTTTAATACTAAAGATTTTTTATTTCCCCCCATTGCTTTTTCTGCCATTTTCTATGAAAAAATTGGCGCTTTGAGCGACCTGTAAATATTTTTTGATTTCAAAATAAAAACTAGGGGTATATTTTTTCGGTATATAACATTCCTAGGCGGCGAGAGCATTAAAATTCCGACTTTACTTATTTTTAACCACCCTATTGTACACTCTCCAAGACTTTTCAAGACATATAGGAGTGCTAACTGTTCGATTTTAGTAATGAATTTAAAATTAAATAAAATTTATAAAAATATAACAACGTAAAATCAGAAGAAATGGGCACCTCAACAGTGATATTTAAATGCTTAGTTTGAAGAATATAAATCAATGTTGCCATATATTTTTTTTATAAAAGGCAAAAACTTTTCTAAGTTCCTATTGTATACCCTCTTTGACTAATTTCAGATCGTAAACAAAGAGAGCGCCCGTTTACAACCAAAGAAACCATCAGAGGGACAAGCGCGTGCGAAATACAACTTCCAGGCACAATCTGGCATAGAATTGTCGCTAAATAAGGGCGAATTGGTCACACTCACCAGACGTGTGGATGAGAATTGGTTCGAGGGTAAAATAGCCAATAGAAAAGGTATCTTCCCAGTGTCATATGTGGAGGTGAGTGCGAAAGAAAAAGTATGTACGAGTATAATTTTTTTTTTAGAGAGCATTGTAATAATAAAATTTATACGGCTCCCATAAATGTATATGTATGTACGTTTATTGGCATTTCAGGTTCTCACCGATATCGGTGCCGAAGATATTGCCGCACGCACCGTTATCAGCGAACATGCGAGCGTCACGAATTTACGCCCCTCACTTGACACGCTACGCACAAATATTAATAATGAATTCAATTTAATAACCAAAAATGGCCATCAGCCACCAAATGGCATACTCAAGGAAACCAAACAACATCACAACAATAAAATTGATGCACTGCACGTGGATACGCATTCAGAGCCGTTAGTGTAAGTTGAGCGAAGAAGAAAAAAAGTGGAAAAATTTTTTATTAAATTCTTATAAATTTTTCTTCTCTGCAGCTATCGCGCACTCTACAAGTACCGCCCGCAGAATTCCGATGAAATGGAGCTGCTCGAGGGTGATATCGTTCATGTGTTGGAGATATGCGACGATGGCTGGTTTGTGGGCACCTCACAGCGCACTGGCTGCTTTGGCACCTTCCCCGGCAACTATGTGGAGCGTGTGCTCTGAAAGAGTGTCTTCCGCGGCACGCCAATAAGCGTTGATAATGCATTCTACCAAAATACACACACACACACACACAATCACAATATTAATAAAAAAAAAATACTTAGTTGAATGAACAAATTGAAGAAAAAGCAATCAAAGAATAAATTATGTTAAACAAAAACAAACAAAAAAACACACCAGCAGCTGCAATATGTATTGAAAAAAGCCACCTAATATTAATTATATTTAATTTTTGTTGTTATATTTTATTTTATTTGCCGACTTATGTAATTTTAATTAAAAATTAAACAAAAAAATATATATATTTATTTACATACTTATATTCATGTTGAAAAGTATAACTCTACGTAAAACATATATTAAATTATATTAACCACAAAGTTTAAATTTGAAGCATAAAACAAAAAATATTTGCAAGAAGCATTAAGTGGTGTGGAGGAGCGTGCTTGCGTAAGCCTCAGGCAACAACAACAGCGGCAGCAAAAAAAACCAAAAGGTAGATGCGGCGACGCACTAGCCTCCCTCCACCTGCAACGTTTACTAATAAAACTAGTCAAAGCTATTTCCAAAAAAAAAAAACATTAATTAATTAATTAAACATTTGCACAAGTTGAAGAAGAAGAAAAAGGAGAAGCTAAAGCTGAAGCGATATTCAAACAAAAATAGCAATGAAAATGTTTAATTTGAAAGTAATTGCAATTTCAAATGATATTCAACTGATATTAAAATGTCCTTGCGTCACGTACACACACACACACACACACATACATACATCAGTTAATAAACAAAGACCCTTGGTTTGTTTTACATACCATCAACAAAACCTACCAAAATGTGCCTTCCCATCCATGTTGCCTTCATGAAAAAAAAAAATAAAATAAAATAAAAAATACCACAAATTACAAAAATGTTTGTATGTGTATAGCATCCGAAAAATATCCTTTATCTCGTTACCGAATGTGTATTTGCAAGAAGAAAATTAAATGGTTTTGCCTGCTGGTTTGTAGTTGACACAATTTAGTTGTAATTTGCATACATATTAATGTATTTGTTGTTATTAGAATAAAAACCAAAAAATAATAAAATGCATAAAACACAAAAAAACACTAATTGAGCAATATTTTAATCTGAACTGAAGGCTGCAAGTAGCCTAGATATAAGGGTGGTCCTTAAAATAGCAACATATAAATTTTGTATGGCGTCAGTGCTTGCGTCAGATTTTCTTTTCAAAAAACTGTAAATTTCAAAAAAAAAATTAATTGAAAAAAAGAATAAATACATTCAATAAAAAGTCATAAACAGTTTAAATAATACAAAACCAGACTTTGTAAACCGAAACATTTAAATCACATTTCAGTTTCAATATTTTTCCTAAATTGCTTTCTTACCTTTTTATACATTTGATTTGAAACCTCAACTTTAATATTACAACCTGAATCACTTTTTTTTTACGAAATCTTGCGTTTTTACAATAACAAAGGCCGGAATTTGTAATTTATTTCTTGTTTTACTTAAACTGATTTCGGCCAATATTCTACCTACATTTGCTATTTTTAAAAGAAGAAACGCTGCAACCTTCTTATTTAAAAAATTCACTTCCAAAAAAAAAAGAAAAATTTTTTTTTGTTCATTCAAATTTTAAATTTCGCGGAAAAAATATAATTTGTACTAAAGGTATTTTAAAAAGCTGTAATGTTGTCTAAAAAACTGTAATTTAACTGTTAAAACTGTGGATCTGGCAACATTGTTACACAGATATCAACAAAAATTTCCAAATTTTATAATAATTTTTAGGGGTCGCTACCAGGGTTGGATTTACATTAATCCCAAACATTTTTTATTTTAACATTTTGAAATTTTCGTGGATGTCTTTATTTTGTGCCGTAGATTGCCCTGCGCTATGCAGGAAAATACAGCAATTCCTGGATAGGATTCTTAGAGGATTTAAACGCAACTGCAAAGTTTGGAATACGGCAGTTGCTAAGGTTTGAAGACTCTACTACGTACTGCTCGTTTCATATACCGAATTAAAAAACGAGCAGTACGTTAACTACTGTTATAATCCCAAAATATGCAGTTTTAAGTGACGAATTGCTCGTTCACGACTGTTACGATTAGAGCCCAGGATTAAAGGGGTTTTGGATCCATGTGTTGTCACAATGGGCCTAGACGTGCTGGCTTCCTCTCAGCTCAGCAGGCACTTCAAATTAACCTAAGCTTTAGAAAAAGTACTAAGACCCATCGTTTGTAGAAAAAGTACTGATATTAAACGTTTACGAAATGTGATCTCGGAAGGTTCAGTTAAATGTATACTCAAAAACCAAATAGACTTCGTCATGCGATGTGAAGCTAAAAAACGGCCAACCACCTTAGAGAACTCTAGGAAAAACCTCGAAGGTTACTGAGCTTTTACATATGCTAATACAGGAGCGCTTTCCTCCACCTGAATCAAGATTCTCGAAACCGAAGCGCCTTTAACGCATTACAAATAAATTTAATAGGTTCAATTTCCAGGAGCACATCCGGTAAAACTATATGATCTCCAGAGAACAGAATAAATGGAACGACTAATAATCGGACGTTTAAAGATTCGGCCATAGAAGATATCATTCGATTATCCGAACAGTTAAAGGAAACCCTACTTGTGATTCTTCGACAAATCAGAAATTTTTTACTTCAAATCTTTGAACGATTTAAATAGAGTCCTTTCAAACGTCTGCTGAATCAATGTTTTGTCTTTTTATTTCTGATCTAGGATTTGAAAAAATAGTGTCTTTATTTTTCTTGTCGCTATAACCGCAGAAGTGGCAGTCCTTGACCACAAATATTTTTAGGCCGTTTGGGTTAGTAGCATTTTCCAAAGATATATTATCTCCAAATCCGAAGAAAAGTAAAAATCCAAAATTACTACGATTATATTTGGCAATATGACCAAATTTAACCCTGGCTCAGTTACGGTCTGGATACTGTAACCAACAGCTAATAGATGACTTCTTCATCGAATGAACTAACCAACGACGTTTATTCGTATGAAAAAAATAAGAAAACCTTTAAAAAAATATTAAAGACATATTACATTAAAATTTTAATATAACATTTTTGAAAAGAGCACACAGTGCGTTGAAAATTTTTTGTAACTTGCATCACCCTGTTATAGCTCACATGTTCACAATACGCCTGGTGCTGTCAAAATTATTTAAAAGTAAACAAACAAAAGTCAACAAAATGGACTGCAGCAGCCAGTAAGAATTTAACTAATTTAATCAATATTCATTTTATATTTATAATACAAAGTACATTTTCAGCACGGAAGCGCCCGAAAGCTTCACGCGTATTGAGGCATTCTTGCAATTGCTACCAGTGAATGACAACAATGCGCTGCAAATTCTAGACCAACTGAAAGCTCTACGAAATCTTTGTGCGGTAGATCCAATGCATCAAAATATCATAGCTGAACATGAGGAATTCAATGCTCAGCTGCATAAATTACTATTTAATAACAGCACAATTGAAATTCCGCAAAATATACTGCTAATAGCGCTACAGTTACTCGCGAATGCTATTGTGCAAAATCCCAACTCTCAACGCAACATTTGGAGGCAACATGGCGATGCAATTGTTGAATGTTGTCATAAGCCACCACTTGGGCGGCATACTGACATACTCCTAATGATAATGTACAATGTGCTGAAAGGCGGTGCTGTTTCGAATATGGAGCAACAATCGCTGGGTGCATCGGTTTGCGTATGGCAAACAATTGTGCAGGAACGCAGTGAAGCCAGCTGCGAATTTTTACACTTTATTTTTGAGCATTTCATTGTATACGGTGGACACAACACAGTGCGTTATTATGCACATTTAACACCTATGCAACGCATTTCATTCCTGGAGTACTTGGTGAATTACCTACGACAAGATAGTCCAAATGGACGAATACATCAGTTTCTTTTAAAATATATTACCAAAGAGTTCAACATAAAATCTGATCGAATTCTCGTGTGCAAGCGTGATGGTACACAAGCTTCTGCAACTGTCGAAGCTGATTCATTACCAGCACGTGAGGGTTATGCACTTTTGCGTGTGATTGCTAGCGCGTCTGGCAGCGAGTTGTATGGAGATAGTTATGCCAAGGAACAGTCGCTGTTTTTGAATGTGAGTAGTTTGTTGCGTTGCTTAGCGCAGGTGGGTAAGCAGTCGCAGAATATTTTTACACCAATGACAAAATTAGAGGAAGTGGCACTCACATCAGACATTTCAAGAGATTTCGAGTCGGAGGTTTCGTTTGAATTGAAAACTTTATTGGTGCGTTGCATTGCAAATTTGCTTTACAAGAACGCAGTCAATCAAGGTTACTGCATAGATACACAGTTGCTGCCGACACTCTTGGAGTGTACCAATATGGATGCACGAAATCCACGTTAGTATTTACTATAACATGAGTTTGAAATGTTTAGAAGTGTTATTGGGAATTCATATTTTACAGTTCTAAAAGAGTGGAGTGTTTTGGCCATTCGCAACGCTTGCTTCGGCTGTCCAGAGATACAGGCAATGATTGCGAATATGACAAATCAAGGTGCTGCGCAGAATGACATTATTGACGAATTGAATTTAGATATGGGTGCTTTACGCATTAAGCCGAATCGAGGATGAAGAGTCTATAAATGTGGGAACTTTTTTAATGGAGGAATGTACTAATATATTGTTATTATTTTTCAGTTTGTATTACATGCATTACTGTTTTTTTTTAAGATACGTTTTTACCATGATTCAATAATTAAATAATTATTATTGAATCATGCGGCTTTACAAGCCTTTTAATATTCTGATCAATTGCTCCTATACAACTCATAAAAAAATAAAATTTCTTATCTTAAAAAAGAAGCTTCTTCAGGATAGAATTGTACTTGAAAGTTTGGCATCAGCTGCCAAGTACCGACCGCTGTTAAAAAAGACCAGTGGTACTAAATTGAAAAAAATGAATTGTATAGAACACATACGAAAAAATATATAAATTTGCATCTGATGTACATATGTATGCATGTACATTAGGGTGGTTCTTAAAAAAAATCAAATTAGCGATTTTATCAGTCTCAACCCTTTAATCGGTAATACCACGGCCACAGATATCACATACAAATTTTGGTCCCAATTGGAGACGGTTAAGGCGTGTCTCACAGGGGCCAAAGTAGATTCCTCTATAGAGACTCAAAAAATTAAAATTAATTAACGGACTGCAATCGGGACCAAAATTTATATTTGATATCTACGACTATAGTAGCATTGACGTAGGGGTTGAGGCTTAGGAAATCTGATGTAAAAATTTGCTTCCTACATTTAAGGACCCCCCTAATGTATATATATTGTGGTCATACTTATAACAATTTTTTATGTCAATATGTACACACTTATGGGTTGTTGTTGTTGTTGTAGCAGCATACAAATTCCCCAAAGAGTTTTTGGGAGTGTTGCTGGAGTGACAGTCCTTGGCCAAATATAAATCTGGGTCGTTCCGGTTACGTAGACCCGACTGTCGTGGGAACGCACACTTATGGGTAGGAATACCTGCTGCATTATTTACATGCCAAAGAAAACACACCAAACCGCTTGCTGGTGTCAAGTGTCGAAAATTTACCCAGTTCACCTGAATTACTACTTTTGTCATACCCTTAGAAAACGCTCTTTCGCTCATATGTTACGCATTAGTAGTCGATGTTCGCACATACGGATCTTAATATTAGCGAAACAAAAAAGGAATCCCGGCATAATTCTTCCGCTATTGTCTTATAGTGAACATAATACTTCTATTCAATTAATATTTAAATATGTACTTATGAATGTATGTTTGTATGGTACGCGATCATGCAAGCGATGATCTAAAGCACCATACCTTTTCCCCAGATGGAGTACATATGTACGTACTTAAATTACCAGATACAAATTTTTGTCTGCTTATCAGTGCTAGCGGTTGTCTTTAGACACACCGTGCAGTGAATTCTAGACTCTAGATTATTCACAAACAAAGCACCTCTGTGAGTCCCCTGCGATTAAGCGCTTGGGAGATCCCAGACTCCTATGGGCGTGCTATCAGCAGTATGTCAAGAAAGTAAAATCACGCAGAATATAAAACTCAGCTGCCCAGCTGAATTCTGTATCATAACTCAAAAGCCCTTGCAGTAGCAGTACAACAGCCATAGCAGCGCAATCACTAAATTATTACCAGCAAACATCCGAAACAATCAATTCAATATGAAGACAATCGTACTTTTCGCTGGACTCATCTGTGCTTTCTGCCTCTTCCATACCACCAATGCAGCGCCAGCTGATACAACTGCTTTGGAGCTAGAGCCGGAATTCGACCAATTGGCCGTACTGAATGAGGAGTCTGTGTCTGAGTTGAGTCGCCAAAAGCGCGCCACATGCGATCTACTGAGTGGCACTGGCGCTAATCACAGCGCTTGTGCGGCCCATTGCATACTTCGCGGCAATCGTGGCGGTTATTGCAACGGTCGCGCTGTTTGCGTCTGTCGTAACTGAGAAGAACAAGGAGAAACTTAAAACAGTGAGAGAAAGTTGTGGATACGCTTATTTTTTTTTTTAGGATAAAACTCGAATTTTAGTATATTTAAACCCATTTATAATACTTAAATCGTGAAAATATGTATACTAGGATATACGTCTAATGAAAGTATTAAAATTATGATAATAAATATACAGTTATATATTCTATTGCATAGCCAAAATATATATGTATGTATGTATTTACATAAGTATGTATAAAAAATTCGTAAGTATTGGAGCCGAGGACGTTTCTCTTTCAGAATTGTCGTTCAGTTATCTGAGATAAGATATCCTGCCTGGTAAGGCATAGAATCTTTGATCTGAATTTCAGAACGAAGATCTCAAAGGAGAAGTTTGAACAACTGAATTCCTGTGCCTTGACTTCAAAATTGTAAATACATTAGTGCTCTGACAGTGCAAAGATGAAATATCTGTATACAAGCAGTCCTTAAGTTCTTCAACCTAGGACCTTCTAAGCCCTTAAAGTCAGATTGGCAGCCAAGGTCAAGGTGCCTTTAAGTTGTAGTAACTTCGTTCAGTTGTCCCTCATTCTTAATCTATTTGTGTTGTGCGAAAGTCTTGAAGCCCTTTGAACACTTTTGGTGAAGCCATAATTCCTTCTTCATAATCCTCTTTAAGCCAGCTTTGATCGTTAAGAGATTTTATTTAGACCGAAAGAAACTTTAATCAGACGAGGCTAGTTCGTGGCTATATAATGGCTACCTCAAAGCTTCACAGACATGCTCTATAGACACCAAAGAAGTATGTGGCCTAGTCCAGTCGTGATGCGAAACATTGCCTTAATGAATGATTGTTTCAATAGCATTAGTTGCTGGCAACAGAGAGCCGAATCAACGGTTTAACTAGGTCCTATGAGCCCGTGGTGTTTAACTTGTCTGTCTGGAAGCTTCCTGACCCAGCGTAGGGAGTTTCCCTGGTCTCATATGCTGACGACTGTTCGATATTGGCGCCCTGTAATGGAATTGATAACCTCTGCTCGAAAGTAAACGTCTACCTTTACGAACTCTCTCGCTTTTTACTGCACGGAAGCTAACGGCGACCCTCTACATCACCTGGACGAAGGAGTTTAGTCTTCAACTAGGCATTCACGTCGATGGCAAACCAATTCGGACGGTGTATAACCCGAAAATCTCAGAGGTTAGCTTTGACAACCTTCTCCACTAGCACTATAACTAGAGGAAGAGCCTCCGCCCAGGCAAATAAGAAGGTACAATTTCGAATATATGGTCATGGTTCATATTTTCCTCCTTTTGACTCGACGACGTAACGGCCAGTGATCAACGGTATTCATTTAGAGTCGGTCACCACCTACCACGAGTCTAAACCTCTGAAGGCCGGCGCACACTTTCCACCTATCGCAGGCACAGAGCTTCACCTGCCACGAGAGATCGCATTGCTCTGGCTCAATTACGGTTAGGATATTGCAGCAGCCTCGACATCCACCTGTCCAAACTCGACCCCTATAGTCCTAATGAGCTTCCGGAATGTGAAGGCTCCTCCCATGACTCCAACGACCTCTTCACATGTTAACTCCTACCCTTTCGAAACAGCCGTTATTTAGTTCAGCTTGACGACAACGATTGATGAACAAACCGACCCAGGCGGGGCTTAGTAGTTCAGCTAGAACAACAACAGCAACAGCACATGATGAACTATTCAATTTCAATTCTATCTTCTTTTCCGCGCAATATTGTTTTACGTGACCCTTTTTTCATCGTCCGATGGTGTTCGATTAAAAATGGCTTTACTTCGTTTCAGCAGCGAATTATGTTAATTAAATAAATAACGGGCTTCGTTTGGTATTCAGGTTTATGTAAATGACTGTTTTTTTTACATTCGTCGAGGTCCACCTTCCACACTCCTTCTGAAGCCGCTACAGGTTCGACTGAAATTGATAACGAAACCTTTTCCCTGTCCTGAAGGATAGCGTTTTTTAGTCTCCAAAACCAACTTCCATGAAATCGTAGCTGATCGTCATCTTGAGATATTGCAAAACACCTTTTAACATGGGTAAGCACCAGAATGGAGTACTTGAGATCAATAAATTTTGGAACAAAAAATTTTCTTCTCGAGACAAAAACATCGATATAAAATACTTTAGGGTTCGATTGTAAATACTTAAAAACTAATGAAATTGCCTTCGAGTCGAAATACTTCCTTAGCAAAAGTTTAATAATTTTTGTCGAGCTTTAATTTACTTAGGGTGGTACATTATGATGATAATAACTGAGAAATGTTAGGTCAGAACTAGAGCGGGGTACTTGAGTTCAATGAAATTTGAAACAGAAAGATTGTCTCCTCGATGCAAGAGCTGCTTTAAATTCCGACCGTAAGTGCCGAAGATATGTATGTCAAAAAGTGTAAAAACGCGACCCCTATGTTTGGTGAAAAAAAAAATAAATAAAAATTCGACTCAAGAGTCTACGGCGAACTTTTTTCTGGATCAGTCGATGTACATTAGGCTGCACCAATAAAAAAGTTGCGGGCTTTCCGCCGGAATTAAAATTGTACTATATTTTAAGATGTGTGCCAAGATATTACGGAAAGATTTAAAAGAGCTAGATCGATTAGAAAATACTTCCAAAAATCTAATTATTTCGATCCCGTTGACAAATTTCGTAAACATTTTTATGCAGACATTTTAGGCTTAAACACTTTTGTCATCTCTGAGGTGATTAAAAAAAAATTTATTTTTGGAGATATTTTCAAATAGGCCCACCTCACGAAAATTGCATTATTTTTCTGAAATATTTTGGCGGAGGTCTTAAAATATAATAAATTTTATACTTCCGATGGAGAAACAGTACCGATTTTATTTTTTTGCGTGGAGAGTGATGCACCCTAATGTACATGCATATGGTTATATGTGAAAAATGTTTCTCGCGCGACAATTTACTGTTACCCATTCGATATCACTAAAGCATATCTTGGAAACCATAATTGAAATTTTGTCTACATTCCAGTAAACGAATTGCGCACAATAAATTTGTAGGAAATCTTTATACATACATATGTATGTATGTACAAATAATTCATGTAAGGCATGCCACATTGGCGCCCAAATAAATCACAAAATTTATTATACACTCTCTCCTTGAAAACTGTGAACCGATTATCACTTAAGTAATAACTTAACTTCTTTAGTACTTGACAAATAGTTACTTCAGCCGCATACATACAGTGATATCCACCAATTGGTATAAATTACAGTTTAGAAGCGGAAGCAGTAATCAGAACACTATAACTGCAACAGTTGGAAAACGCATATCTGTTTAACTATTTAGCTTTTCTTCAACATGAAGAAGATTTTACTACTTTTAGGCCTCATTTTCGTTTGTTGCCTATTTGCTGTCAGCAAAGCACTACCTGGGGATACCACTGCCACCACCATCACCACCACCACCACTGCAAGGCCGATTTGGTCGGAACGTAAGGGTCGCTTCGCATGCAGATTTCTGGGCCCCTTCGGCATGGGTAATGCTGCGTGTGCAGCACATTGCACAATTCGTGGTAGCCAAGGTGGCTCCTGCAATGAACAAATGTTATGCGTTTGCAACCAGTGAAGGCAGGAATAAGAGCGTTAAAGTTTTGAATGACATAAAAGTTGGAATTACATATGTATATGTTTACATATATAACATAACTGTAACTGCATTGTTCGCAAATAAATGCGTCTCAAATACATTTTCCATTGTGACAAGTATTTTTTGTGGAATTGCGAATAATTTTTTTGTGTAGCAAAAAGGGAGGTTAAAAAAGCTGCCATTTTATTTCATTCGATTCGAATCGAGTTTCATTCGATCACGGATGCCAGGATTCGGGCCCAGTGTTATTTATATGTTTTTGTTCAATATTTTATTGGTATGAAATACATTTTTTGTTCTTTTATACAAAAAAAAAAGGTAATTATCCCAACGTTATAGCAGGAGTACAGAAACAAAAATTACACCAACTACGCATAATTACATTAAAAATTAAACTAATACATCATTTAGACATTAAGAACGACCGAGGCGAAAAACCAGCTGCTCCGATAACACCACCTTATTTCCTAAAAAAAAAAATCTACCAACTTCCACCATGTTTTGTAGGTAAAATTTACCAAAATAAATTTTTTCACACATCAGTTCAACGAATGCCTTTTGATATTTAGTACACAATATCCCAGGGGACGCACACCTGTGAGTCCCCTCAGTGTTAAACCTATGCATATATGTAATATGTACATACATACATACTTACAAGGGAAATCCACACCTTCCTCATCAACACATTATCAGCGGTCTAGCAAAAGTATAAAACATCGGAATTTAAGACATGAGCATCAGAGCACTACAACAGTCTTTGCAACGACAATCAGAACGCGACACAAAGTATTCAGCTATCAGCTAATAACAAATTTTGTCAAAATGCAGAAAATCGTACTATTTGCCGGCATCATCTGCGCGTTTTGCCTTTTCAATGCTAACCAAGCTGCTCCTGCTGACACAGCTGCCCACGAAGCGGCAGATGACCAACTGGCCCTGCTGGAGCAGGTTCCTGCTTTGGAGTTAAGTCGTGATAAACGTGCCACATGTGATCTTCTAAGCGGTTTTGGACTTAAACACACTGCATGTGCAGGACATTGTTTAGTTCGTGGCAATCGAGGCGGTTATTGTAATGGACGTGGCGTGTGTGTGTGTCGCAATTGAGAGTATGCTGCTGGAAACTGAGTTAATAACTCACCATTTTAAAATAAAATTATAAGAATAAAAGAAACTAGAAGAACTGTGTACTATCTCGTTTATATTTTGTTAAATGTCCTGATTGTTATGACAGACATAGTATCTTCCACGAAAATGTTTATCATAAAAGCCTTGTGGTATTTTCTGCAATATTTACGTTTTTTATAACTATTTGAAGGTTAAGATCGGCATACATAAGAAGTGTACTCGTACGCCCAACTATCTAAAGTTTTAGAAAACTTTTACTGGGTTTGCGTTCTCGTACCCAAAAAACTTGCGAAGTAGACGAAATTGAGAGAGCAAAATGTGAAAGAGAGCTGCAAATTTCTGCTGGAAAAATTTTTCCCAGCTAAAACTTGCAAGTAAGAAAATCAGCCGATCACAAACACATGTTTGTAAATAAACAAAAGAAAATATGGCCTTTTTGAGGTTTTTTATCATGGTTCTTAGCATTAACCCTCTGCGTCTGATGTGGTGGTATGACAGACACCAAAGGTTCGACATTTTTTCTGAATTTCAATAGCCTTGACCACTAAAAACGCCTATTTTTCGACATATAGTTGATTTAGATGACTATTTCATTAAGGAGTAATTAAAGCATTGATAGAATTTCCAGTTTAAATTGAAAAAAATTTATTAATAAATATCTAATATTTATACATACATATTTTGATCTGGAAAATTGGTATATGAGAGACGCGCAGTAGCAGAAGGTTAAATCGAACATTGTGCGGGCTTTGTGACTAAAATTCTTTCCGATCTTCGCTCAAACTCTGTCAACCTAAGCTGTACGCTTTAAAACAGATCGTTAAAATCATTATAACTCATAGAGAAAAAACCAGTGCTAAATATTTACATTTGCATATGTTATAGTTAGTCATGCAGTCGTTTATTTTACTGCCGGGTATTTCGACCGGGAATCACAAAACTTAACAAGAGTTGCGTTATCACTCAATGCAATAAGTAAATACTGAAATATTTTCAAGACTTCGAGTGGTTTATAAAACGGAGATGGAAGGGTTGTCGTGTATCAGAACACAGTCGATTTCAAAGCGACAACTATTCAATATGAGAATAACCGTACTTTTTGCTTTTTTCATCTTTGCATCTTTGTGCATTTTCGATGCTATCGCTGCACCTGCTGACAAGGTTTCCTCCAAAGGACTATCAACCCAGTCGAACTTAGAAAACGAGAATTCTCCAGTAAATTTAAGCCGCCAGAAACGCTTCACATGTAATAGTAATGCATGTGCCGCTCATTGCATATTGCTTGGCAGAGTAAAAGGAGGTTATTGCAACTACAATCAACATGTCTGCGTTTGCCGTAGATAATATGTGATTTTCAGGGAAGAGCGGAAGGGCAAATGAATTATAATTTAATTTTTGTGCTTGTTTTTATTTTTTGATGCAGTATGTCAGTTATTATAACAATGTAAATAAATTGTGGAATTACGTTTTCTTCTGCATAAATATATTTGTATTTTTTATTTTTGGTTTATTTAGTTCAGTTTACAACTAAAAATGTATGTAAAAATTTAAGCAACAAATTGTAACACACTTTTTATGCATATTAATTTTTATATGTATCTTTTTGTAAGAAAAAATTTTCCGTGGGCAAATAGATAAAAAAAAACGTCCCGCCTAAAACTGTGAATAAATTCAGGACTGAAAATAAAGACTTCATTGCCGGAAATTTTACCACACTATACCAGTGATGTCTCCTTAGAAATAGCTACCAGCTCAGCCTGAAAATCACTCCAGTCATCAGGCAGGCAAAGCAGAATGGTATACCTAAATGTTCCGTGTAAACACTTGGCGGATTCACAACGGTGTCGTATTGTTTAAACTTCGTAAACTTTAAAAGCTTAAATAAATGTTTAGGGCGGAATTCACAGCGCATAGTTAAACTATTGTTAACTTAATTAATAACGAAAGTTTAACTATGGGTTTATATTCATAGCATCGTAGTTAACTAGAGATATTTGAAACAATAAAATTTAGCAATGCTACGAAATGAAATGTTCTTGTTCATTTTTAACGAGAGGCAAAGGTTCTACGGACAAAGTATAACAATTTATAAAAAGACTTCAAAAAGCGGGCAGCAGCAGAGCGAAGAAGCCAATTGGTTTTCGAAGAAATTGATGATCAAATTAATTCAATTACTAGCCAAACTGCTTCTTTACTTAACCGGAATCTGTTGCGAAAGTCTCTTACGCTATAAGCCTGAAATAAGCAAGGACGTCTGTTGAATACACGTTCACGACGATGTAATAAAAAGCTCCAGATTTGTTTGATTTCTGCATCGCTTTCAGATCAGATCAGAGCAAGCTTGTCCTATGTGAAAACATGTTTTAAATAAATATTAACATTTCTTTTTAAACTTGATTTTATTTTCTCACGTTTTTCTTACATTTTTCCTTGCGTCAAGATATGAATCTCATTCCACAAAAATGAATGAAATGAATTTATCTATGAGAATATCAGGGTTTAATCTATTGCTAACTTTATACGATGAATACAGAAATCAGTAGTTAAACTCTTGTTCCTAGTTAACTACGTACAGTGAATTCTGCCCTTAGAGAACTGAAAACCACAACCAGCTATTTTTTAACACTGCGAAAATTCATAGTATGACTTTGATGGTACGTTGGGAACCCTCTTAATATATTTTTTAGGCGTTTAAAGTTTACGACATACAACGATACGACACTTATGATACCGTTGTGAATACCCCAACTGGCTATGACCCTCCAATCGAGTTTGAGCTTAAATACTGTGTATATACGTATGTATATCGATGGCTGAGTGGAAGATCGTCCACCAGTTCGACAACGCCTTATATCAGAAAATTTTTCAGCAACGCACTATCTCAGCTGCCGATATAAAATCGCCCTATCTCAATGTATTTTCGTTTGAGATAGGGCATTATTCAACCGAATTCTGAGATAGGGTGTTTTTCAAAAAATTCTGAAATAGGGCGTTCCTTCTACCTTCACTTCTACCGGAACGTCTTTAAAGTTTATCCTTTTTTATATTCACGGTTTTCTGACAAAGCTAACTTTGTTCGCTGTTTGTAATAGCCTGAAAGAATCGAGCTATACATATATGAACATACCTTTGTATATTATAAACCAAAATGCTTGTACACACGATAGCTCTAGGGAAAATTGTCATATCTCAATTTGATGCAAGAAAAGTTGGTATTTAAAATGGGCAATATCGGATAAAAACCACGGCCACCACCCACGTAACGATTTTTTTTTTTTAATAATTCAAAAACTGCGATAGTTCGTTATATAATGAAGCAAAATCAACCACATTTTAAAATCAGAACGCTATTTTGTCAAGGAATAAGATTTTTTTTTAATTTTGGAAAATGATCTTGGTACCTCAGTAGCCGTCTTATCTTACAAATTTGGTACACAAAAATTTCCGTTGGTGTTACTAAACAAGATATTTAAAATTCTTGAAATCTGGCGCTAACCACGCCTACCACATATATTCACCGGTATTTTACGAAAATGCAAAGCCTGAAATATTTCAATAACTACTGAGGCGAAAATATCCGAAATTGAATATGCGCAAAAGCAATTTTTTTTTTTAAAAAATTTGAAAAATGGCCGTGCCTCCACCCCATATTTTAAAATACGTGTATCCGCTTAACTGAATTCTCCCACGTTAGACCGCGTAGAAAATTTTCGAAATAGGAAAATAACGTTCATATAACGGTATATTTAAAATATGCATGTCACTGTGAATAACGCCAAATTGCTCGGATTTAATATTTGGACGAATCCTCCGTCAAAAAAATGTATGCTTGTAAAATTTCAGAGAAGAGCTCCTTGTTTCATAAAACGAAATATTAAACAAAATTTTAATCGGACAAGAGCCACGCCCTCTTTCCATATAGCTGATTTTTTTTTATTTTTTTTTTTTGTGAAAAATGATTTTTTTCTTTCAGTTTCCTTAGTAAATTCAAATATAAAAAAATCCTTTTTCACTTAAATTGCTTTCGTGAAACTGGCTATTAAGAATAAAACGAACATTTAGTCGAACTTATAGCGGCGACGGTTTGTTAAACACGGTGCGTCGCTTACACGAGAAGATCTGTTACCAGCAAAAAAATAGAAAACGTGATGAGAAAGTAAACTAAATAAAAGCGCCACAATACAAATATTTGCGCGGCTATCAATCACAAATTGAGACGGTCTGGAAAAGGTAATACACTTTCATGAATGACTTTTAGTGAGTCCCCTACAAATGATGAGTACTTAGGTACTTATGTATGTATGTACCCACCGCTACATAGGAAAATCCAAATTCGCGTCAACAGCGTCTTATCAATTTTATGACAGAAACATGTACATACATACGTATGTATCAAGTATAAAAGACAAATCTTTAGCGGAATAGGGCACCAGTGCAAAATAGCCTTTGCAGCATTAACCATAAGTAAAATTAAGTTTATTTTGAAATCAGCGAGAGACAATACATAGCTAATTCAAAAAAAAAATATATAAAAATGAAGACAATTTTACTTTTTGCTGGACTCATCTGCGCTTTTTGTCTATTCACGAGCATCAGTGCCGAGCCCGCTGAGTCTGCGAATGATGGTATTTTGGATAAGGATGAAGTGAATCCATTAAGAGCACAATTGGAAGTGAATCGCCCGGAGCATTTGAGTCGCCAAAGGCGTTTTACTTGCGATGTACTCCAAAGCAAAGAAGCCTGTATTTTCCATTGCCTTTTACTTGGAAGACGTAGTGGTTACTGCAGCCGAGGTGGGGTATGCATTTGTCGCCTCTAAAGCTATGCTGTTTACTAAAACCGGCGATTAGCTTAAGTTAGTTTTAATCTGAAATATTCGTATATATGTACCATTGTAAAAAATAAATTGAATTAACCGTAAATCTGATTTACTGACTATATACTCATAATAATATCACCTGAATCCGATTTTCTATTTTAGAGTCCCTTTTTTAATACAAGAACTTCGAAAGCGCCAGCTAGGAATTTCGATAATGGCTTACA